GTGTCATTGATTACTTTATCCTAAGGGAGCACAGTGTGCATTGAACTCTGAACATTACATTTAGAGTGAGGCTAGTAGTAAACTAAATCACCTCTAAAAGATTATATATATATATATAACTTAAATTTAATAGAATAGAAATCTCACTCTGTGTTCTATAGGACTGGATAGGACTTGTTGAAAAATATGCATAAATTTTCTTCCTTCTTAAGGATAGAAATAATTATCCAAAAAATGTTCTAAGAATTAAAATATTATACTTTTGATACCTTCTTCCACTCCTGAAAGGACATGAGCTGGCTGAGGAGAGCGGTGGAATCTCTTTTTTCATGGTGAAGACCTTAATGTCAAAGTTGCTGCTTTTTAAAGGAGCTTTTTTCTGTAGTCCTTGTTTTTTACATTTAACCACTCTGAAGATTTTGTAGTAGCATAACAACGCAAGTAATGGAATGACAAAGAGGAAGACTTTATTCTGTGAAAAGTAAAAGAAGATCGAAAACAAATAAGTTATTTAGGGAGCTTTAGGCCTTACAATCACACCTTTTTCTTTTTCCCATTCCGGATTCCTGTTTCGTTCTTCGTTGAAAGAAAAAAGTTAAAGAGATTCAGTGGTGGATCCTATGTAATAATGAAAAAAGTATCATGAGCACAAACTATCTTCTACTGAGTTCATGGTTTTGAGTCGTGCATTCTATATATAATGGAGAAAGAAGTCGTATCTGGGACTGTGCTACTGTTATGTAGGTATACTTATATACAAAGAGTGTAGAAAGTTTGTGTTTTATCTGTTCCTTTAAAAGCCACATGTTAGGAAAAGATGAGTCAGCATCTTGATTAGCAACCACACAAAGCGGTCAATCTGTAAAACCCTTAGGAAGAAGATGATGTGATGTTGATATTAGAATTTGATTTGATAAATAAAAAGAAAGGAACACAAGTGCCCACTGTCAAATCTTGATCCAATGCTTTCTAGTACTAAGGCAATGTTTCTTTTTCCCCCGTTAAGTGCTGTATGGACAAATAATGTTTGAAGAAAGGATAATAAGCATTAGGAGTATGGAAAGAAAAAATAGATGAGGGGAACTTTGTAAAAAAGTTATGGACTTAATGGGTACAGCCCCATTTCCCTGACTTTCATATAAAGCCATTCTTTTTGCATAAAGTCAAAAAGAAACACCCCATATATAATAGCTTACTGGACTAACTGTCCCCATTAAGTCCACCAAGTCAAAAAAAGAAACAACACCTTACATTTTTCCCTGTTGTTTCACAGTACATGGTTTTTGGATGATTGATATTTCCATCCTCTTTGTAAATGTGGTAATGGATTCTTTTGCCTTGCAGGGGAGAATATTATGATGTGAACTGTCACAAGTAGATTCGTATTTTAGGGTGTAACTTCATCTTCGTGATGGAAGTTTTGTAGGCTAAATTACTATACTGTTTGTAGCATTCTTAATCTTCTTTTTCTTTACAATCTCTTGTTTAATGTATGGATTTATATTTATTGTGTAATAAAACGACCACAAATTTTGGACATTCAGAGGAGGCAGAACTTCAGTGTGTTCCTGGAACCTTTGAATCAGTAGAAGAATATGTTAAAGTATTTGAGCCATTGCTTTTTGAAGAATGTCGGGCACAACTCTACAGTACCTGGGAGGAATCAACAGAAATGTCTTCCAGAGATTTGCATGCAATGGTCCGCTTAAAAACTGTTGAGAGACGAGAAAGAGGTATTATTATTTCTTACATCTCATCTTCTTAATCTATTTTTTCTTTTCTTTAAATATTATTTTATTGTAATCATTTTGCTTGTTAACAGGGTGGTATGATGTGATACTTGTGCCTGCAAATGAATGCAGATGGAACTTCAAAGAGGGTGACGTGGCAGTTCTTTCCACCCCCAGACCAGGAACAGGTTTCTTTACTTATCTCAACTCTTAATCAATCAATTAAAAAAGTGAATCATTGTTTGCATAAATTGACAAAAAATATTGAAACATTATTTCCATTAAGCAGTGATACCCAAGAGAAGCAACAATTCAAATATGGGGGAAGAGTCAGAGGTGAGTGGACGTGTGGCAGGCACTGTAAGGCGCCACATACCAATTGATACCCGTGATCCTACAGGGGCAATCCTTCACTTTTATGTTGGGGATTCATACGATTCTAACAGGTATCAAGATAATTTTTGTTTATTTTTCTACTTTTTTTAATGTATGCTAATCAAGAATTATGGTCTTGCTTCTAATTACAGCAAGAGTGATGATGATCATATTTTAAAAAAGCTACATCCTAAAGGAATCTGGTATCTTACCATTCTTGGCTCACTTGCTACAACTCAAAGAGAATATATCGCTTTGCATGCATTTCGTAGACTCAATTCACAGGTGAGTTTTACAACTATGGCATCAAATTCAATGCAAAAATAGTATTTCATTTTTAATTTTTTTTAAATGTTTTTGTATAGATGCAAACTGCGATTCTTCAACCAAGCCCAGAGATGTTCCCGAAATACGAAGAACAGGCACCCGCAATGCCCGATTGCTTTACACCAAGCTTCTTCGATTATCTCCATCGCACCTTCAATGCCCCACAGCTGTCAGCAATTCATTGGGCAGCAACACATACTGCAGCAGGTACAACTACCGGGTCCACAAAAAGACAAGAACCATGGCCTTTTACACTCGTTCAGGGCCCACCCGGAACCGGAAAGACTCATACAGTCTGGGGTATGCTCAATGTCATCCATCTAGTCCAATACCAACATTACTACACCGCATTGTTAAAAAAACTAGCTCCCGAAAGCTACAAACAAACAACCGAAAACCTTGTTTCCGAAAACGCCCCTGCCGGCTCAATCGATGAAGTCCTCCAAAGCATGGACCAGAACCTCTTTCGGACACTTCACAAGCTCTGCCCCAAACCCAGAATGCTTGTTTGTGCCCCTTCAAACGCTGCAACCGATGAGCTTCTGACACGTGTCCTTGACCGTGGGTTTATAGATGGTGAGATGAAAGTATACCGCCCGGATGTTGCCCGGGTCGGGGTTGATTCCCAAACCCGGGCAGCCCAGGCGGTATCGGTCGAACGTAGAACCGAGCAACTTTTAGTAAAGAGCCGAGACGAGGTGTACGGGTGGATGCACCAGTTACGGGCCCGTGAAGCCCAATTGTCTACACAAATAGCAGCCCTTCAAAGAGATTTAAATGTCGCAGCTGTCACTGGTCGGTCCCAAGGATCCGTGGGTGTCGACCCGGATGTTCTCATGGCCCGTGACCAGAGCCGGGACTCATTGTTACAGAACCTGGCTGCGGTTGTTGAAAACCGGGACAAAGTTTTAGTGGAAATGTCCCGTCTTTTCATTCTAGAAGGCCGGTTTCGCAATGGCGCCAACTTTAATTTAGAAGAAGCCCGGGCTAGCCTCGAAGCCAGTTTCGCCAACGAGGCAGAGGTTGTTTTTACCACGGTCTCAAGTAGCGGACGGAAATTGTTCTCACGGTTGACCCACGGGTTCGATATGGTGGTGATCGATGAAGCGGCTCAGGCTAGTGAAGTTGGTGTGCTTCCGCCTCTCGCTCTTGGTGCAGCCCGGTGCGTGTTAGTCGGGGACCCACAGCAACTTCCGGCGACTGTAATCAGCAAAGCCGCTGGTACATTGTTATACAGTAGGAGTCTTTTTGAAAGATTTCAACAGGCGGGCTGCCCGACTATGTTGCTTTCGGTTCAATACCGAATGCACCCTCAGATACGGGAATTTCCTTCTAGATACTTCTATCAAGGACGTCTTACTGATAGTGAAAGTGTTACAAATTCGCCCGATGAACCCTACTATAAAGACCCGATTTTAAGGCCGTATGTTTTTTACGATATTACCCATGGGCGGGAATCGCATCGGGGCGGGTCGGTATCGTATCAGAATATACATGAAGCGCAGTTTTGTTTACGGTTGTATCAGCATCTTCAGAAAAGTGTGAAGTCGTTGGGTATACCGAAAGTTTCGGTGGGTATAATCACACCGTATAAGCTCCAATTGAAATGTATTCAACGTGAGTTTGAGGAGGTTTTGAAATCGGAAGAAGAGAAGGATCTTTATATCAATACAGTCGATGCTTTTCAAGGGCAAGAACGTGATGTCATCATTATGTCGTGTGTTCGTGCTTCCAATCACGGTGTGGGGTTCGTTGCTGATATTCGTCGGATGAATGTTGCTCTTACACGTGCTAAAAGGGCACTTTGGGTATTATTTATTTCCCGTGTTTTATTCTCTTTTTTACCTTCTTTTTTTCATATATTATAACTTTTTATGTGTTTTATATTATAGGTGATGGGGAATGCGAGTACATTGGTTCAATCAGATGATTGGAGTGCACTTATAGCAGATGCAAAATCACGGGAATGTTACATGGACATGGAGTCACTTCCTAAAGATTTCTTGGTATCGAAGGGCCCACATCCACCTCCACCACAGGCACGGTTTTCTAACATGAGGGGTTTGAAGAGACCCGGGTTAAGACACCGATCATATAACGATCACATGGAGTCTTCAAGGTCAGGGACACCTTCAGAAGATGATGAGAAATCAAATTTATCGTTTCCTTCAAGAAACGGGAATTACCGGTCTTTCAAGCCACCATTTGAGAATTCTAATTCTCTTGATGATTTTGATCAGTCGGGTGATCGATCGCGGGATGCCTGGCAACAGGGTATTCAAAAGAGACCAAATTCAACCACAGTTCCAGGAAAACGGGACCCATGATCCGAGTTTTTTATATGGAGATTCACGGATTTTGAAGAAAAGCTTTGTTTGGGCCATATTTAGATTGATGGAGTTGCTAAATAACTTCAGAACAGAAATGTGAAAGAAAGTGGTTTGAAATATGAATGAAAAAGGTGCATATGGGCTATATGCAAAAATCAATCATTAATTTGCGAGGTGAGCAAAATCTCTCTTCATTCCAATTTTGACATGTAGTCCATGATGATGATGATGATGATGATGATGATAAGTGTGACTACACCATGGATTGATGAATGCTTGAGTTGAGGGCTTGCATCCATGCTTTTGTTGTCGGTGCACTCGGATTGGATTGGGTTGAGTTGGGTTGATGACAAGTAAGTTATGATGGTTGAAATGGGGATGAAAATGAGTTGATAGAAAATGAATAGAGAAAGATTTAGGGTTTGTTATTGATTCATATAATAGATAGATAGTATCTTGAAGAACAATGTCAAGATTTTGTATAGAAAGGAAATGAGGGGGTGGTGTTGATGATGATAAAAATTTAAAGGAAAGAAACAAGTAAACTTTACTTTTAGAGGTGTTGGTGTTTTCACTTTATAAAAAATAATAGCAATATTTAAATCATCTTTACACACAAGTTTATTATTATTTTTTTTAATATTGATTCAAAACTCAAACTTAACAGTGGGGCAGGATTTCGGTGTTTGTAAAATATAATAGACAATATTTAAATGATCATGAAACTCCTGGAGTATTCCTCTAATGGTAAATTATATAAAAAGTCAAGTCGATGGTACTGTTAAGCCTAAATTTGTCGAATATTAGAGATTATTCAACCTTGAATTCAAAGAACTTGAAGAGAGCATTGCATAAAAGTATGAATTGGTTGCCTTTTATTAAAACTGAAAATTTACATAAGAAGAGAACTTGATTTTATTCTGAATTATGAACTATGTTTAGAGGGTTTATTAACACCATAAAAAATCAAAGCCAAGTTAGAGTAGAAAATCATGAAAGGAATAACAAAATTTAGGTGGAAAGTATGTGATTAATAAATTTATTGTTTTGAGTTTACCTTATTATGGGTTTTCCTGTGTTCATCTCCGATCTAAGGAAAATGGTTTATATTTAACCTTCAAGAATCAAAAGCTTCGCTTGTTTCCGACAATATATAATTATAAATGCAACAAACATATTTTTAAAATTCATTATTCAATCATAACTATTTGTTTCTTTGAGAGATGCAAAATGTTTAATTAAACAGATATAATAAGTCCTTGACCGACGATTTGATGCATAAACTACCTTTTAATATTTCAAGATAAGGAGTTACCTACCACTCATTCTCATCAGTTCAACTTTTTTTAAGATTTGATTTTTGTGGTTTTATTGTAAATTTATTAGATAAAAGATAAATTAGATATTTATGTTATCTTTTAAAATATAATATATTATAAAAGATAAATTAGATATTTATGTTATCTTTTAAAAATATTACAATTTAATATATTATAATATATTGTAATTATACATACATATATATATATATATATATATATATATATATATATATATATATATATATATATATATATATATATATATATATATATATATTTGAATGAATACATATACATACTCTTTTGACGTAATATTTTTTTATCAACCGGCATAGAAAAAAAAATTGTGGATTTATACTTCTTTTATAGATAGTAACATATTTTTTTATATAATTAATGATAATAGGTTTACGGAAATGAAATAAAAAGTCTAAAAAAAACGAGTGCGGCTTACGTCTAACAAAAATTAAAATTAGTCGAAAAAATTTATGCTACAAAAAAGATGGTTTGCGGAAATAAAAAAAAAAACAAAATGTATTAAGTTTGGCAAGGATAAAAAAATTTGATGGAGATTTATTTGGAATTTTATTTTTTTTTAAATATTTTTTAAATTATTATATTATAAAAATAACATTTTTTATGTTAATAAAAATTGGTGACTCTCCTCCAAAATTTTCCAGATAACCAATTTATTTATTGTTTTTTATTTTTAGCATTTTCTAACTATTAAAAATTATATTATTTTTTATATTAACTCAATAGAACTATTTATGTTTACTAAAAATGTATAAAACGTTGGTATGCAAATAACGATTTGTGTCTATCAAAATTAAAAACACAAATGAAAAATATAAATTTTACCAAGCAAAATGTTATCCGAAAAAGTATGGATTATGAATGGTTTTTTAAAAAAATATGCCACTTTTTCGTAAGGTTTGTTTTTTTTCTTTTAAAAAATCACAATTATTTTTTAATGGGTTTATTTGAAATTTTAAAATTTTATAATATTATTTATTATATTATAAAAACAATATTATTGTTTTTTATTTTAATAAAAAAACAAATTTAAAGTTATTAATACTAAAAGGTTACTAATTAAGATGTAATTATTACATAATAAAAGTTTTATTGATTATGATAAAAGAAAGTGATGATAAAAAAAGATTAGTCAAAATAATAATTATATGCTAATGATACGGTAATAATAACCTAAAAGATAAACCTAAAAATATAGGATGATTGTGTAGATTGGTGTGTGCAAAGTATGACTCTTAATAAAACCGTAGCCGTACTTGGATGTAAATATTTATGGTATTAGAATCACTTTCATGGGCATTGATTGAAGAAGTTTTCATCTCATTCAATGCTTTCACGCATTTTTGGGCATTGCTACTATTGATTGATTTTTTTAGGTTGATTGATATATTATATATGGCTACTACCTATTAATTTTGTTTATTGTCGAATGTGATTGATTTTGTGGGTGTCCTTTTCTTATGGTTGTAAAAAAGTTGATTACCTTCTATCAATTAGAATTTATTTAGATGGTAAAATTGTGTTTAATGAAGTTATGTTATGAAGTATTGTTCCAAGAGTTTCTTGCCTCCAATCCTCGCATTTTTTCCAATGTTTTGAAAATCGTACCGGATATCGAACCGGCCGTGTTACCGGTTCGATGGTTCAACTGGTTCGACCGGTTCAACACTTCAACCGGTCCCAAAAACCGGATAAACCGGATATATATATATATATATATATATATATATATATATATATATATATATATATATAAAGATTATGAAATTTTAAAATTAGTCAACAATATCTTATTTTTATATGTTACAAAGTTTGTTATAACATGTAAGATTCAAAGAGTTATATGTATTTGTGTGTATATACCGACAATGCTATCATATGAGTTTAATATGGATTTGGTTTCATTTCTAACTTAAGTACGCTTATTTTTCTAGCATATTTCACTTTTAGGAGAGATTGGTTATTTGAGTATTTTCAAAATCATCACAGTAAAATGCCTAGTAGGTTAAATAAATTAGTCCATAAGAAATTAAAAAAATAAAAGGTATGATTGAATATGGAAGAAAATAAGTATGCACGATGAATTAGTTTAGAGATTGTTTAGGCTATCAGCCTCATCCCACATCGCCACAAAAATAAAGTGTTTGGCCTTTGAGAGCTGTATAAAAGAACAAGAATCCAACGAGCTAGTAAAGCAAAGTCTGCATCTTGCTTATGAAAGCGTGGTCCCCATTGCTTTACTTTAGTTTAAAATTTATGTCTTTTTTTTTTAGCAGTCTGGTTTTTTTCCGGTTAGACCAAACTGGTTAATTCCGGTTTTTGTTTGAACTGTTGGTTTTTTCCAGTTTGGTTTAAGGTAGGTTTTTGTGTTTTCAAAAACCGGTGTCTACACCGGTTCCCGGTTGAACCGGCTGGTTTGGTCTGGTTTTCAAAACAATGATTTTTTTGGCCTCTTCTAAAAATGTGTTTTAGACAAGACTTCTGGGTATATAATCTTCCTTATCGATCTTGGATTTAGGTGCATCCAACCACATGTCGCATAATTCATCATCCTCATAACTCATGCACCCCTAGCCTCCATCATTCTCAGAGCTCATGCACCCCTAGCCTCCATCATCCTCAGAGCTCATGCACCAAACCCTAGCCTCCCTCTTGGCCTTTTGAGCTCATTGTAGTTAGTTGTATGCACATTAAGGGAAAGTGCACTTTTAGAAGCAAGGAAACAAGAAACTTGTTGAATTCTATATTTTGAGCATTCTCTGGACCATTATAAGTGTTCATAACTTAGTTTTGGTTCATTTGTGAGTTTAAATCTAAGGTTTAACGGGTTTTGACCCATTTTGACCCCATGTTCTTGAAAATGTGCAATCTCCAGAACTCCAGCTTGTTTATAAGCAAGTCTATGACTTTCAAGATGTAGAAAAATGTTCGTGGTTGTGTTTTCAACCAACCATGCAATGGATGTAGAGCTTAAGTGGACAACATCACATCATGGTTATAGATCTTGAAGGATTTGGACATTAGAATGGATAAAATTTGGAAACTTTATCTATTATGTCCATGGAAAGATTCATACTTGAGAACCTAAGCCTTCATCAGTAAGGATTAAGTGCTTAATGAATGAAATGTTCTGCCAGAGGAATTGTGTCGCAATCAAGGACTGACAACGACGCGGTAGATAAGGGATCCCCACAATTGTTTTGTCATGACTCAACCACAACACAACCAAGGATTTGTCACGGCGTAGTTGCCGTTGACCTTTGGTTGTTGGCCATTGACTTTTTGACAAGTTTGACTTTTTGCCAACCTTGTTTAATTGAGTCTCAGATTACGATTGGAGGGCAAAATGGTCTTTTTCCATAGAATACTCTTTATTAGACCTAGACTCGATAATGAAGTGTAGTTGAGTATTTTTACCTTAATTGTTAAATTAGGGTTATTTATTGTGTCGTTTTGGGGAAGACTTTACTAGTTTGAGTTGGATTTTCATCTTGTATTCTAATCAGGTGAGCTCTTATGAACTTATTTATTATATGGACTATGTGTTATACGTATGCCAACTATCTAGTTGAATTAAAAGGATGTAAGACACGAAAAGCCTCTCGGAGGGAAGTGGTCATAGACTAGACAACCGGAGAAAAGCTTCACGGAGGGAATCCAGTTGTTTGGTCTGGATAACCATGTACGGATGGTTGCATGGTGGATTACTAGGGAATAACCCCTTAAGTGAGGGAAGTTCTAGTTGTACCATCTGGGGTAGAAGATTATGCTAACATATGTTATATGTGATTACTATTTGATATTTATATGTGTGATGAGAAATGCATATGATCTGCATAATGCGTGAGTGTTATGATTACTTACTAAGTTTTGAGTTTACAGTTGGTATTTTACATTTTAACTGCAGTTCCTTCAGGTTCGAAGGATAAGGAGTTTGCATGATTGGAATTTCTAGACATGTTAGGGGCAAGCCATGTATTTATATTATCTTTTGTGTTTTCGTTTGCAAAACAAGACTAGCTTCCGCATTTTGATGAAATTTAATTATGAGACTATGTTGTTATCTTATGGATGAAACCCCTTTTAGTATTATCATGCTTTGTTTTTGAAGAAAAATATATTTAATTTTTGAGATGTTACATTAACGTCTAAAACCTGAGTCGTCCCAAGATACAAAGATGTAAATCTAGGTATCTTGTGGGTCGAAATTTTGGGGTGTCACAAATAATAATAATAATAATAATAATAATAATAATAAAATCTAGATTTTAATTTTTTAGTGTTATAATTAGTTTTGACATTAGTTAAATATATTAAATTTGATAATATATAATATAATAATGATACAAAAATACAAAGTTTATAGAAGATTATATGTATATAGGGTAGAGGACAGTTGTTTTGGAATCTTCTTATGTTTTCTAAAAGCTTGTTGTAAAATAAAATAAAATAAAAAGGTAGTTCAAAATATATTAGTAGGAGTTGCATGAGGAATTTTTTGCCGACTAACAAAGTAATATTAGATACCCTGCTTGTGGAAAATCGAATTTGACCATGTCCAAGAAACCATCCGAACTTGAGCTTCGCTATCATCTCATTCACATCACAATCAGCCTGTTTTTCTTCTCCCCCATCGCCACATGGCTCCTTCTATCGATCCTCATCAATAAAAACAAGAACCCGTCTTTTGATTTTTCTCAAATCCCTAATTAATACACTTTACTTATAATTTAATCACCCTTCTTATTTCTTCTCATCTTGATGGTTACATCTTCATCTTCTTTGAGATCTCCGTATACTCTGTTCTTCAATCTCTCGTCACAACCCCAGAAGAAAGAGGTAATCTCCATCTTTTTTTTTTATATATATATTTTTCTAAAAAAAATTTCATTCTCATCCATGAACAACTCTTGTTAGTTTGCTGATTTCGTTTCGGTAAAACAATATTTCCACCCCCTGTTTTCTTATTGAAATTGCGCATTTTAGTGATCGCGATGTGTATATATATGATAATCTGTAATTGCGTAGAATTTGTAGAATTAGGCTGTGAGTTGGACTGGATTTGATTTCATAAATATTACTAATTTCTTTTTATGTATCCATCTGGAATCTGAATTGTTCTTGATCCAACTATCTTATACTGGTGATTAGTTGCTTATACTTTTGTGGGTAATTGGAATAGATAAAAAAAAAAAATAGTGAATGCATGATTATTCTTGAATTGTACCACTTTCCCCTCTATGAATTTGAAGTGTTCTTCGCCTGATTGTGTCATTTGTGTGTTTAGTTGCTTATACTTTTGTGGTTATGGGGTTTGATGAAAAAGATGTTCACTTTTCAATCAATACACGAATTGTTCTTGAATTGTTCAGACTCTTCCGTTTATGATATTGAAGAGTTCTTCGATTGATTGTTTTCATGAGAATTTGATGAAAAATAGGTTGCTTTTTGGGTGACAGTGCATGAATGTTTATGTTGTAGTCGATGCATGCTTGCTCTTAATTATATGGTTCTTTGAAGAGATAATAAATATATCGTTGATAACTTGATATAAAATAAAAAAAGAAAAAAAATCAGTTTGACTTTATATGTTCAAACCTATTGTTTTCAAATCAAACTTGTTATGGATTTTGTCACAAATTTGACAAAAAAAATTGTTGTAATTATCTTTTTATGAAGTTTATTTGATTGAATTTAGCTTTAATGGTAATAACTTTGATTATTTTAATTATTTATCCTTCAGATACAGGATTTTTTTATACTATGAATCCACAGTTGAGGAAATCAAGCTCGAGTGTTTCCGTATCCGCACAAGATCAACCAAAGTTGGTATGTTTTGAAATACTTCAAATGTGTCATTTCATATTGGTAAAATACAGAGAAATACACTTGTATACTCACACTTTTATCAATTTAGCCACTTAAATATTCTATGTAGTGTCTAAACCATTATCGAAACCGGGTAACAAGAGATAAATAAGAATTTAGGTTTAAGCTCGATATAATGGTGAAAGTACTTTTTTTTTGAGAGGATATCAAAATATTTCATAAATGGTCAGAAAAAGTATAACGGTTTAATTACTATAACAATTAGTGTAGTTAAAATTGATTAAACATAAAAACACAAGTGTTTTTCTATATTTTACTTTTTTAAATAGTTAAGTGAGGGTACCATGACTACGTTTTAAATTAGATTAATGAGGTGCGGAAGGGAATTGAGAAGCATAAGTCCATTGACAAGATCAAACAGCGGCTTAAGGATGAGTATACTCGTTATTTATCTGATGAATCTATTTCAAGATATCTAAGGGCACGAAATTGGAACGTTAAAAAAGCAGAAAAAATGCTTGAAACATCCCTAATATGGAGAATGAATTACAGGCCCGAAGATATTCGATGGGTAAACTCTTCTTAACCAAATTTTTACCATTACTTCACTTTCATTTAGTTTCTTATATCATCGTCTCTTTTCATACAACTAGCTTGTTGTGTCATGTCCTGGCCTTACCAAATGCTTATAGATAGCTTGTGTTGTCATGTCCTGGTCTTACCAAATACTATACAAACAACAGTCAAATCAAGAAAAATCATATCATGTTATACCATACACATAAATAGTCTGTCATGACATGTTATAGTCTTACCAATCACTATCAACTATACAGACATTCAGTCATGTCATATCATATCCTAGTCTTAACAAACACTATATAGACATCCAATTATGTCATATCATATCCTAGTCTTACCAAACACGTACAACCAGTAATGTAATGTCTTGTCTTGTCATATCCTGGTCTTACCAAACACGTAATGTGTAATCTGTTAATAGATGCAACCTAGATGTTGCTCCTTACTCTTTTATTTTGTTTTATGTTGTTTATTTGATGTAGGATCATGTTGCGCCCGAGGCAGAAACGGGAAAAATCTATCGATCAAGTTTTATGGACAAGCTAGGGAGGACCATACTTGTTATGAGACCGAAATGCCAGGTTTCATCTCACATTTTCCATTTCGACATCATGAATGAATGAAATTTTCTTTTTTTGGTTTGACTTGTGTTTGTTTCAATACACACTCTTTTTTTTTTTTTTTTTTTCATCTTTGACTACAGAACTCAAAGTCAACGCGAGCACAAATAAAATATTTGGTATATTGCATGGAAAACGCGATACTTAATTTGCCACCAGAACAAGAACAAATGGTTTGGTTGATTGATTTTCATGGGTTTAGTATGTCGAATGTATCCATCAAGACCACAAAAGAAACTGCTCATATTTTGCAAGATCATTATCCCGAAAGGCTCGGCCTAGCAATTCTTTACAATCCACCCAGATTCTTTGAACCATTTTGGAGGGTATGTACATACAAACAAACGGTTTGACCTAAGGTCAAACATGTAGTTTTAGACTTCTGGTTTATATAGGAAAATGTTGAAACTTATTTCTCATATATATTTTAAACATCATTTATATTTATCCAGACAGCACTTTATAGTTTGACTTGAGAATTGTGTTATTGCAGGTTGTGAAACCGTTTCTGGAGCCGAAAACTGCAAACAAAGTGAAGTTTTTATATTCGGATGATCCAAACACAAAGAACATCATGGAAAGCATGTTTTACATAGACAGACTTGAGTCTGCATTTGGTGGGAAAAACGAAGCAAAATTTGACCTTAAAATATATGCAGCAAGAATGAAAGAAGATGATGCAAAGAGAGTTGCTCTTTATAATGGAGAATGCAGCTCAAGCACACCAAGGGGTCGGGGCTCCACTTTCTCCGAATTCACCGCCACAAATTCCGATTCTGATTCCGATGGCGGGAAACCAAAGTCGCCGGAGATTAATGAGGAGGCCATATTGGCAGAAGCTCAAAAGATCGAGGCGGCTGATGGTGGTGGAAGAGGTGCCCGGATTGAAGCTTAGTGATTTGCCCATTTTTCAGCTCGTTTTTTAATTTGAAACTTATGGTTTTTTTTTTTTTTTTGGCTAACTTGACATCATTGAAGGCTGTTTATTTCATAAATTAATGTTTTGGTAATCTAATTCAGTTTCATCATGTGTTCTTGAATCAGAGTTTTTGATGTTAGTAAGCCTTCTATTTTTGTTTCATTCGTGTCAGTAGTCAAAATTTATGGATTTTCTTACTTGTGTGGCATGGACTTGGCATCCATGGTTTGATGAAAAAGATGTCGACTTTTCAGTCAACGCATGGTTGTTCTTAAATTGTGCAGACACTTTTGTTTATGAATTGGAAGAGTTTATATATAGCAAATGATTTTAACTTTTTAAATGACCAAAATTACAATGTACTTTATTTTACCAATCGTAACTATAACTGAAAAGGAAAACATCAATTGTTTTCAGGTTGTAATATATATGTTGAAAGATTTCGAGTTCAAATCTCACAGATGTCTAACTGTAAACAACTTCTTAGGGATCAAAAGTTGGTTAATAACCACACCATGAACTCCTTTCTATAAATAAAAAGCCATCATCCAGTATTTAAATAACTAACAGAAAAATATTTTATTTTCAATTAATAAAGCAGGAGAGAATTTGCTTTTCCACTGCTTCACCAATGTTCATTCATATATGGGTCGGTCTAAGCTAAATTTCATTGTTTATAATTAAGCAGGTGAGATTCTTCCAACATTAATTAATGCAGCATCTCATCTAACTTCTGCCTGTATTTAGCCAAATTCTGCAACAACCAAACATAAATCATTAAATCCTAATTTATATATTTTCAAATAACTTAATATTAGAAAATATGGTGTGACCTTAGTATACGCATAGACACCAGCCTCAGTAGGAGCTGCTGGACTTCCTCTTCTGATGTATTTTTCCTCTTTGGCAATGTAAAGCATCGGTATCCCCGTTGATAATTCCAAACTTATCACCTAACAAAAAATAATATTTTTCAGAATAATTCCAAACTAAGCTTCACACAGGAGGGCATTCACATCTTTTACACACGCACACACCTCTTGAGAAGTGAGTTTGTCAAGATACATTATGATGGATCTCAAGGAATTCCCATGTGCAGCAATCATTACATTCTTTCCTGCTCGCAGTTGAGGTTCAATCTGAAACACATTTCAAATCTCAAAAAATTTAACGGAATATTAATCATTCAACAAAAAAAAAAAATGAAATACTATAATTGCAAGGCATTCAGACTTGTTGTGTAAAGTAAGCAACAGCTCTTTCAGCACACATTTCCAAACTCTCCCCATTTGGTGGAGGAATATCATAACTACGCCTCCATTCATGCACTTGTTCTTTTCCATATTTATCTGCTGTTTCCTGCTTATTTAAACCCTGTAGTTCCCCATACCTCCACAAATCAAGTCAACAAAAATCAAGTCAACAAAAAGTCAACCCAACCGAATATCCATTATAAAGATATTAACACCTACATTCTTTCATTTAGTTGCCAAGCTGTCACAACCGGTATACACTGCTTCTTTGTTTCTTCACTGAAAATTTGACTCCAAGCATTGGCTTGTTCATTTTCATCATGCATCACAATAGGCACCTACATTATACATACATACATACATACATTCATAATTACCAGTTTATAAATTCAGGGACAAATAGCAACATACTTTTAATCTATTTGTTTATCAAAGCATCTGACTTTCATTTTTTTTAGATTTTAGTACCTTTTTGCGACGATGTTGAGTCATGGCAAGCATAGCAGTCATTTGTGCACGAATCAAGGAAGATGTATAAATCATGTCAATTGGTATATTGCTTATTCTTTTTCCAGCTTCAATGGCTTCCTCTACACCTTTCTTTGTCAATGGCACATCAACACAACCTGTGAACAGGTTCTTCTCATTCCAAAGAGACTCACCATGCCTAATCAATATCAAAGCTGCTTCACCTGAAACATCAAACTTTATTTCAATTTGGACTTATCAAATGTGAATTGAAGCAAGATTTCATACTTGGTTTCTTGGAAGAGTTGCCATTTAATGGATTGCACTCTGAAGTTTGATAAGATGATGATGATGATGATGATGATGATTGAATTGATCCGCAACTTCTCTTTCTAGAGCAATAATGTTCTCTTTTCAATGGTCCAGTTCCGAATTTTAAACTTCTTGCCATCAACCTCATAGGAATACTTCCACATTCCTGGTGAAGGGTAGAATTACCAATATGCCCCCGAGGCTCGAGAGTACCAATGGCTTGGTGGAACATAGTTGCAGCCATTCTAGAAACCAACAATAAAGTATTAGCCTCTACTATACATAACAATTAACCAAATCTCCCTGATTTTGAGATATTTCTTTTAGGTTTCATATCATGAAAATAGACTTTCACCATTGTAAACTGATTGGTTTATAACAAGATCAAAATCTTTGTTATTTGTCGCATATTTCATACTGTTTATCTTAGCTATTGGCTTCTAAGAGAAGAGCTACAATTTGACTTTGGAAGTCAAAAATATAGTTTTCAAGTTCAAAACTTAAACGGGGTTTGATCTTTCTTTTTCTAATTATATTAAACCTAATAACCACCGCTACTAATACAGTAACGATGGCCTTAAATCTGCAACAAATCCATACCAATTTCGCATCTGGAAAATTGTTAGGTTTGACACAAAAGTCAAAAGTAGCTTGAGGGAGGAATTGAAACGAAAACACAAGCAGATCTGGTTTTAAGTTAACACAAAAACCATAATAATAAATCGACGAGTTACTAACAACCAACGGAGATTAAGATACACGTACTTTACACGAATTAATGTATGCTACACACAACTTCAAATGTAAATACTAGCAAATGAGTATCACCAAAGGTGGACTCTAGGGCACACAACTATAAGAAACGTATCAAGATTAAAACAACTTTGAGAAATATATTGAAACTTGACCTAATAAATGATCAAAGAAATTAAATAATTTCGTGCAAATTACAAAGAAAATTAGAAAAACAGATCTTACATTACTTATAAAGCAAAAGAAAGCGAATGATTTGGGCTTTGGCGATACAATCGATGCAGAGACAGCGTTGGTTGCAGGGAGAAGTAAAAAGTTGACGGAGAAGAAGACGATCAAACAAAAGCAAGAGACTTGTGGTTGTTTTAGAAAGAGTTTGTTATGGCGTTTGGTTTTGAGAAACGTTAGAAAGGGTTCTAAATTCGTATCTGGAAAAAGGGGGAGAAGAAAATGAGAGGAAAATCTGGCACCCCTTTTTATAATTCTATGTCAACTTGTATTGGTGAAGAACGTAAGTTGGTAGGTAGGTGTTTAGGCAGGTGCTATATATCACACGAGGTAGGCGTTAGATACAATGAGAACCTTCAAAGGGTTTATTCACCAAGATACCAAAATGAGATGTCTTTTATTATAAAATATTTTTATTTTTTTTTATTAAAGTATAATAAAATGGGAAAACTATTCTAAAACCCAACGTTTTAAAAATCTGTTTTTTAGTTGATATGATATGGTGATCGATTTTCGATTGGACCGCCGGGTCAACCGGTTTTTATAGTTTTCATATTTTTTTTTCCTATTTTCCTACACACACACACACACACACACACATATATATATATATATATATATATATATATATATATATATATATATATATATATATAAACCATGAATTTGATGTTTACAAACTCAAACATTAAAAATACACATAAAAATAAGTTGTAAATGAATCCAGATACATTAAAATAACATATAACCATAAGTTTTAGTGTTTTATATCAATCCATATACGTCAAAAAGAAAATAAAATATAATACCGTAACAAAATATAGTTTTAAATTAATACAAACACATCAAAAAACTTTATAACATTTATCATATATTTTTATTTAGAGAAAACTAAATAGATATGAAAAAATAATCACCAAAGTTTATTATGTAAATTATTTTTTTTTCATGTGTTTTTATTCGGTCTAACCGATTTATTTTGACCAGTTCAACCGGTTTTTCCTAAAAACCGGCCGGTTCAATTCGGTTCAGAAATCAATGTAAAACCGGTGATAGTTGAAGTTTCCTCCCCTGGTCCAACTGGTTCGACCGGCAGGTTCAAACCGGTTTTTAAAACATTGTTAAAATCATATGTATTTTACCTCAATGCCTAAATAAATCATTATATTTATTTTACGTCCATTTTAACCATTACTAATATTAAAACCCGTCTAACCTCTCTAATTTGTCTATTTGTGTATTTATTTATGTCAATATATTATGACCGAGTTGAGGGCGGTCCAACTTTGTGTTGATAACTAAGACACTTAGGACTGTCCAACTTTATGATGAAGGTCAAAGGAGCGAACCAGCTTTATGCTGAAGGCCAAAGGGACGGACCAACTTCGTGTAGAAGGTCATCACTTGTATGCATTGTATGTAACCTGTTGTGTATAATATTTTGGAAAAACTCACAAATATTTGGCTTAAAGTTGTGGATTTAAATGTTTTAGGTATTTCTGAGGATCGCGGAAAGGTGAAGGTGTGACCGTAAACATTTATCAACAACTTTCTTGTTTTGTAATTCCACATTTATTTATCAGACGCTAAGTTTATGATTTACCTTTTGGAACATATGGTTTTATTGGCTTTGGGTTTATGAAAGTGGTATTTTATCTTAATTAAAAATTAAAAAAAAATTATTGCGAAAAATGAGACGTTACATGCGAGGTTCATCATCGATGGGTATAGGAACTTTCCGGCGCTAGGTGGAGATATTGTGTCCTAGACATGATTTAATGGCAAAATAATTAAGGCTCCAGTGATAAGGAAAAATATGAAAATTTTGATTTGGATGGAGGACCGTAGGTTCTGTGTTTATTTATATTTTTATTACTAAGTATAACTCATGGAAACCACGATCGATATATTTAAAATTATTATATTATATAAATATATGTCAAAAAAATTCAAAGTATTGTCGAATGTAAGTAATTCTTAATTAATTTAAGTAAAATAAACATATTATTTTATCATATATTTCGAAAATGTTGATGGGATTTTGTATTTTTAAAATTTGAATTAAAATTGATTTGTTATAAAAATTTTTTTATAGAAATCGTAGTAACAATATAAGTGTCAAGGAGGCATGTTAGAAAATAGACAGATATTTTTAGATTTCGTTTGTTAGAATATAAGATAGATAGTTAGGAATTTATAAGTATGGGATCCATTATTTTACCACTTTTTGGTAAATATTCTTTGTGATTACCATGTTCAGTTTATTAAAAAAAAAAAAAAACTCACTCATAGAATGTCCCGTTTTTGGACGTCCTCCCCCTTGTATTCCTAAAGGCGGTCATCGATATAACATTTATTCAATCGAGGAGCATCGTCGATGGTATTATAAAAAGTTGAGGCCTCTAGTGGACCGAACCCAGTCAACATCTTCCATGTTTACATCAACACCATACTCGTGAAGCCATCCATTATACCAATCACTAACCATTATAATGGTAACTCATCACCACATTCAACCATCAAAAGGTTGGGATACTCACAACCTAATCCCTCTTTTATATATATATATATATATATATATATTAAAATGTAGAGAGAGATTGAGAAAGGTAGAGAGAGATAGAGAGAAACAGAGAGAGAAACAAATTGATTGGGTGTGGTGATACGTGTTCTCCACCACAATTGACAACGAAATTGCTCCACCACAAACACATAGAATGGTGTTTACATTTGTGGTTAGTGGCCACACAAACCACGAACCATTTCGTGATAAGTATACTACATGGTCTTATAGTATTTAGTTAAATTTTGTGGTTTACGCGACACCCCTGAGACAGAGTGGAATATTGGGTTCTGCTTTACTTGTTTCGCCATCAAAATTAATACCAACTCTGCCGGCAGTGTCGTAGCTGCTAATGTTGGAATTGAATGCAAGCACAGGGAATGGAAGATGAGGATTATATGCAAATTTTTATCAACCTTCTTTGTTATTTATCTACCATCTTGAGAAAAGTAAGTTAACACTCATCAACACACCAATCATATATAGAAATCAAAACAAGACACTCTGCATATGCATGATTCATGAACATCCCATTCCATCCGAAACAAGATGTTTCGTTGTTAATCCTTTATATCAACCACAACATTACAAACAAAAAAATAGAATGTGTATTAAGCAACCATTACTCATAAAACCCATACTAAACAAGAATTTAGGAAACACAAATTTTCTAATCCTCTTCTTCCATGAGAGACTGAAGGAGTGTGGTGCAACCAGACATGACCTCATCCTTCATAAACCCCATGGCATTTGCAAAACGTGTGTCGGACACAATCCCATTGTAGCTGGTGAGAACCACACGCGCACGGTCACGTCCCGGGTCAGCCTTATTGCAGTTGCCAACTGGGCTGCTGACAAGGACCACATCACATGTCTCGTCACCATGATCTTCATTCACACGGATGTGGTATGTTCCTGTTGCATCAGTCATTCCCTCCATGCTGTACAGGACTTTCTGTTGCCTGTTCTTGCACTCCACCCTCACCTTAGCACCTACATCACCAACAATATATTAATTTATTAAAGCCACACTTGATATAAAGACGAACACAAAAAAGTAAATCAGAAGCACACATTCAAAAGTATCATGGTTGTGTTCATACAAACCACATAATCTAACTAAAAACTATACATCAGCGTGTATGGTTTCTTATGAAATTCAGATGCGCATTTTAGGATCCACATAAATGATCAAACATGGATCAATGACATAATTCATTTTACACATCACAAATCCTAATTGGGATAGATAACGATCACCCAATATAGCAGAACCATACAATCTATATATGAACCTTAAGGATACATATAATTTGATTTTGATTTTTGTTTAGGGGGTATAAGAATTTCATACAACCCTATCAACAACAAAAATAAACTGGAGGGGCTACTGTACATGGAGCATTACTCTATAACAGGCTTAAGTAGCAACAAGAATGACTTAACATTTGCATACTGCTAGTAGATCTTCAGATACACCATTCTTACGGATCGTCTTAGAATGTATATCATGAAAACCTTCTAGTATAAATCCAATCCAAGCACGGATTCCCGGATTTCCCAATCACTCGACTATTATAAGAAAATTTCTAACTGTATGATTATAACTGCAATATAACTACATGATTATGCTTTAATGATACGTGACATTAACGTATTAAATAAGAAAAATTAATTTACACAATCCGAGTTGAAAATTTATATTATTTTAACATTCAACAGAATTAGCCCTCACTATTCACCGCTGAATTCTTGATAAGAATATGGACTCGGTGTTACACAAAACAACTTATCCATCCATTTCTTTGGTATACTGCTTCTCGAAGTTCAGATCTACTAAACAATTCACAATAAGTGTCTCGTTTATATAAATTTCAAAGATTTTCTAAAACAAAATTCACAGAAAACTATACAAAGCTAATAAGAACAGATCGAGAAAGAGATCGGTAAACTTACGAGGAATGTAAGTGGTGGCGGAGGTTTCAAAACCGGCACGGCAAGTATCGCAGTAAACTCTGCCTTGCAAGAGAAACGGACGCGACATCGGACGTGAAGCACTGATGAGCGCCGGCAATAGTACACATAGCGCTAACATCAACACTGATTTCGCCATTACCGTGTGTGTTCTTTTGCGCAAATGTGTGTGATGGAGAGAAAGAGAGTAAAAAAGCAGTGGTTTGTTATTATGGACAGACCCTAGATGAAGAAGAAAAAGAGGTGGTAGGGGTTGGGGTTGGGATGGCATATGCTAATGTGCGCCGGGGAGCACATGGGGCACTCGTGAAATGTTGTGGCGGTGGAATATGATTTAATACAGTTACAACTGTTCTAAGAGCGAATGTATGTCACGATTGGGTACGTGTATGGTTTTCATTGGTGCGTGGAAGATACTGTAAGAGAGAGCGAGTGTGTTTAGTGATCACACCGAATTTAAGAGAAAGCGCCTAAATGCTCGGTGTCACATTTAGAATCATGTGCCATCCGATCTACTCAATGAAAAGTTTCCGCAACTTGCGTAACCGCGTTGAAGACAGGGTTCGAAAGTTTGCAAAAGTCGTAAAAACGTGATACTTGGCTTTCATTTAAATCTCATTTGTTACCAAAAAAAAAGTTTAATCCAACTAAGAGAATTGTGTTCTTTGTTATTACATTATAAAATTTTAATACTTATTTGGTTTAAGAATTTTTTATGTGATTGTTGGTCCAAACGGTTCGTTATGACATCCTATGGATGTTACATGGCCAATTTGATTCTTTGGATGACATTATGATTTAAGGAATAACGATTGTGTTACTATTATGCATTCCAGATACCACTTGTGTATGTTTCATTTTCGTGGATTAGTGATGGTTAACCTTATCTTATTTCACAGCCTCGTGACCGATCGAGTATCTAAATTGGAATTGTGAACATTATTATACTATATAAACATATTTTGTTTTAACCATAATTGTGAATGGATTCCCTCCACCCATAAAACTGATGAGTGTCATATCATATTTTACTATATTTTTATTTAATTTTAAATATATGTAAATGATATATCGATATTATTTGTAGGGAATTAAAAATTATGAATTTTGATATATTTTTTTATAATTTTTGAATATAGATATGATTTAATAATAATTAAAAAAGAAAAGAAAAAAGAAAAAAAATGCAGCAAAATCATGACTCACTTACATCATACCATACTTTTTTAGGGACTTGGTGCAATGTTTACCACATACTGCATTATATTGCGGTCAGGGGCGGACTTAGGGGGGTTCCGGGGTGGCACCGGCAACCCCTAAATTTTCCGGCCGCAAGTAGAAAAAATTTCGAAAATTTTTAAAATTTTTATTTTTTCTACTATCGTGCAACCCCTAATCTTCCCGTGCAACCTCTACTATGAAATCCTGCGTCCGCCCCTGATTGCGGTGTGCGCTATAGTGTACACCATATGATCTTATTGGGTGAAATGGTGGTTTGTTTTTAACGATACCAAGCAACTCATTTGCATGATTTATACACTTATGAATTTAAGGGCAAACACTTTATGGTTATGTGTAGTTGTTGCCCCTCCAAACTACAATGTGTTTTTTTCCTATCTCACTGCAAATAAATAAAGTTGTTAGCCTATATGCTTATGAGCTTCTTTGTCTCTAGTCCATTAGCTCATTAGCCTTATGGCTTTGTTATTTATTCTATTCCTCTTGCTTTGTAGCCTCCATACTTTCCAATGAAGAATACTAACGCTTTCTCTCTTTAAACATGAATGAATGTTATTCTATTATCAAAAGCATATTGTGAAATTTGAAGTTTTGTACAACTAGTGTTAATTCAACACTTGACCTATGTGATTGACATTATTGATCATGTTTAATTGGCCAATTGCATATCAACTCTAACTCATGTTGACACTTAGGTAAAGCTTTGACCCAATAATACGGATCACAGTATCTTCCATATTTTACATTTATCCAACCGGTCTCCGATATGTTATGCAACAAATTTGTCTCTTTGTGTATGATATTGCTTGAGAGCCTTAGGGTATTTCAGCACATTTTGTGGGTATTTTGGATCTTGGTCTTCAAAAAAATTCCTCTCAGAATGACAATCAGATTATGACAAACTATTTACTTTAAGGTTGATTAGGGGATACCCTTCAAATACACTAGGTTGTTGCGTTTATCTGTGTGATAATCTTCTCTCATGGTCATCCATGTAATAACCCATCTGGTGTCCATGTTGAATATAGTATCATTGTATATGAAGTCAATGGCACATAATGGAATCTTTTTTGTGAGCTTCTCTCTACATTTTCCAAAGCCAATATTGTGTTTTGTGATTATGTGGGTGCAATTTATTATTCTTTGAACTTGGTTCAATATCATGACAGAAAAAACACCAAGATTGACATCTATTTTGTTCATAACAACGGCTAACGGTGAAGTTTGTGTTCTCTATGTTCCATTATCTTTTATAATATGTCTTTTTCGAAAGAGATTATCTTTTATGATATGTTGATATCTTCAAGTCTTTTATATCATCTATTTTCGGTCTATTTTGAATGTTCATGTCTCTCTCTAAAATTCAAATTGTAGGGGAATATTAATGTATTTTATTTTTTGTCTCACATATAGGCCTCAAGTTTTGTATAGTTGGGACTATGACCCATTCTGTTGTATTTATTCACCATTTAATGGAATAAAATGACTTGTTGGAATCATCTAAATTACAACAATATCAATAATACGAACCATTAACTTTTTTTTTTGAGTAAAGTTTACCAAATCCGACACAATGATGATGTGACAACTTGCTTCTACGCAATAGCTTTGAAATTTTTGAGCTTTGGAGAAATCCCACCCGCATTAAAAAGTTAAAACATAAAAATAAAAAACAATCATTGAAGTACAATAATACCCATTCAAAGGAAGCATGAAAATATTCATTCAGATTTTACATTTAAAACTTGCAAGCTTACAGACCCACAAGAAGTTTGTATGTCCAACAGTTGGCTTAACATTAATATAGATCATATCCCTTGTATGCTTTTACGTTTTCCCCTCCAAAATTCATGCTTTCTTCTTGTTATTGTAGTTTTAAGTTATATAATATATATATATATATATATATATATATATATATATATATATATATATATATATATATATATATATATATATATGGATTTCTAGAGCTCAAATCTACAAAAACTCTATGCTCATTTCATGTAGTGAAGTTGGGTGATCATACTTGTTGAAGTATCTTGGGTGCACAAGTGAGAACAGCATCTGCAACTGTGAGAAAGATCTTGTTTTCACCTATCAGATCAGGGAAACCCGATGCATATAACTTGTCTAACACCAGTCTACCAGGGTTTGCAAGAACAAGCTGTCATGTCATATCATATCATATCATCAGACAACAAGCTTTTTGTAAGATTACTCTTTTCTTTTTACTCAACTGAATTAATCCAGAGAGGGGTTAATTAATGAGAAAAAAAACACAAGGTTTGCTCACCTGAACATCTCTCTTAACCAGACTCCTGTACAACTCTTCAAATGCATGTATTCCACTAGTGTCAATATCTGTAACAGCTGTAAACACAAATATATATATATATATATATATATATATATATATATATATATATATATATATAAATATAAAGCTACAAAAACCCAAATGTTGCAAATTAATAAATAAATAAATAAAAAAGCTTACGTGACATCTCAATGATCAAGGATTGAACTTTTGGTTGATATGTTGCTCTCAAATGATCTTCTTCCTCGGTTAACCATCTCAATATTCTGCAAAAAAACTCATTTTAGCCCACATCTTAAATGTTTCTTTTTACATGATACAAAAATATTGTTACCTTTCTTTAGTGTAGTTGGAATTAGAGAAATAAATAGCAGAATCAACCCTGACAATCAAAACACCAGGGACTTTAGTTGCTTCAGGATACTGTTGAATGTTTCTGTAAACAGTTGTCATTGGAATCCTTCCCAAAATAGCAGTTCTTGGCCTTGTAACTTGAAGAAGAATCTTAGCAAAAGATATCGAAACCTAAATCAACAAAATCAAAAAATCAAAATCAACCACTAATATAAAATGAACATTTGATGATCTAATTCTTCTTACAGCAATCAAAAGACCAATCTCCACTGATGCGAAAACCACACCAAGAAAAGCTCCCAAACAAGCAACAAAATCGAATTTGTCAATTTTCCAGATTAAAATTGCAGCTTCATAATCGATTAAACCAATTACAGCAGATATGATGATGGAAGATAGGATTGCATTTGGGGTGTACTCGAAAAGTGGTGTCAAGAATTTTAAGGTTAAAAACACAACTAATGACATCACTATGTTGGAAACTGCTGTTTGGCATCCTGCCATGTAATTTACAGCTGATCGTGAAAAAGAACCTGAAAAAAGTCAAAAACATAACAGAATGAAAAATATATATATATACCAAATTTAAATCATTAGAAACTAATAAAGATTGTTTTTTTGGTATAATATTTATACCTGTTGCAACATAGCATGATGTCATTGAGCCTACAACATTCATTGTTCCTAATGCTATCATTTCTTTGTTCCCATCTACTTGGTAGTCTTTCATTGAAGCAAATGTTCTTCCAATAGCAACAGCTTCCTGATGCATCAACAAAAGAAAAATTAGTGAGTGGGAAAAGACATGAATGCCCCTCTAATCAATGAAAAGAACACATACTGTTAATGCTATCATTCCAGCTACTATACCAATCCGAAACCCTTTTAGAAGATTGTCACCCGTGAAATAAATCTCATTTACAGATGGAGGGTTGATTCCTTTCTCTATATGTTTCACCTGTGAGAATTAAAGAAACTAAAAGAATTAAACTTTATTAAAATAAAAACATTTGTAAAATAAGGAAATAAAAGTTAAAGTACTTACAATTGCAACACCTTGTTTATCCGCATGTGTGATATACACGAATAAAGTAGACAAGATAACTGAGATTAATGGTGCAATTGCAGACACCCAAAAGAGCTTCTTATTCTTTTTACTCTGTGAGTAAAATTACATTAGAGTTACAATAATTTTCAAATTATTTACGGTTTTAGGACTCATGAATGCTTACAAGGTACTTAGCAGAGAGTAGGAAAGCTAGAAAACTTGCTCCAATCACTATTGTCTGCCAATTCCACTGAAATATTTACAAGAAAAATTGTTCATATGGGCTTTATGAAATGTTGTATGATAGTGAAGATATAAAAGAGCTGACCCCATGATCAATGGACCCGAAAACTGATTTCATTACAGAAATAATATCGGTTTTCTTTGTGAAATGTTTTATTCCAAGAAAGCCCTTGAGTTGTTGAAGGGCGATAGTGATGGCAGCTCCACCCATAAATCCAACAACAGCAGCATGTGATAGGAAGTCGATTAGGAACCCTAATCTGATCCCCAAAAACAAGTCCATTTTTAGATGACTTATACTATCGATTATCAAACATAATCAAACAAACTCATGTTTTTGATCATTGGTTTACCTGAGAACTCCAAGGGTAGCTTGGGTAATTCCTGCAAAAAATGTAGCTGTAAACGCAAGCCTACGATACTCAACAGCATCATTCACTGGATCAAATTCATTTTGAAGAAGTGTCCCTAATAATAGAGACACCACTGCAACTGGTCCAATGGCTATATCTCTTGAACTACCCATAAATGCATAAATCAAAGGAGGTACAAAGCTCGAGTCTACAAAAAGTCAAAACAAAAAATCAGACTCATTATCAAGAAATCAAATTACACAAAGAAAAAAAAAAACTTACATAGTCCAAACTGAGGAGGTAAATTTGCAAGTCTTGAGTACCCAATGTCCTGGAATATAATATCAAATATGAATGTTAAAATGTTGTTCATGTTTAAAAATATATGTATGAGAAAAACATATAGTATTAGTACCTGAGGAATACAAAGACTTGCAATGGTGAGTCCTGCAATAAGGTCTCCTCTAAACTTTTTGAGATTATAATTTCTACCCCATTCAAGAATTGGGAACACTGCTTGAAGGCCAAGCATAAATTGTCTAGATTTAGGTTGATCTTTAAAAGGGCGTAGAGGATCATCTGAAAAAAACGTTTCTTTCACTGTGGTTTTGAATTCCTTCAAGAGACCTTGTTTTGGGGGTATTCCAACTTTGTGAATGTAAGGTACATTTTGTGAGGGGATAAAAGTTCTTGTCTCCATGTCCTTTGTTTCATGATCCTTATCTTGATGAGCCATTGTAGTTATACTTAACTTAACAAACTCACCTGTATTTCACCACACAAGAAGAGTGTCAAAACTCAAAATTGGAACTTTATCAGATATACAAGAGATAATCTGTACTTAGAATTAAGGGGATATGCATGCATACTGATTACTGAAGAATAGCAGACTAAAGAAAGTTATTGAAGAATATGGGGAACGTTGAGCTTAAATAGGTCATGCAATGGAGTTTGTGGAACACAAATTGTAATAGTCCACACATTGTTTCTCAGCAACTTACCACATAAAAAGAAAAAAGACATAATTAGCCTTTAGGAGTCACAGTTGGACCTTTTTGGTCAAATAATGCTCTTGAAAGTGACCATTAAGGAACATTTTTAATTGTGACAAATCGACAAGTGTCAATGTCTTCTTTAGTTATGAATGAACTCAAAGAATACGATGTAAATTGATGCCATTTTATATGAATAGTGTATTAGTGGAACAAGTTCAAAGAACTAATCTCCACATCCAAAATCGGCTTTTTTTCTTCTCTTTTGGTCTCCTTGTTTATTCCCTCTCATAACAACCGTTAAAAGTTACAAGATAAATTCAGTGTCATAAATAAAGGCAACTCTGTTTCTGCAATGGAAAGAGACAATTTTGCAGAATATATTCTTTCATTGTTCTGCAAAAGGGTTATTTTTCCAGCAACCACTAAGATGTAAATCAGGTAGATATTGCCTCATTGGCAATTTGGCATAAGAGCTCAGGGTATTTTTTCTTTTATTTACTTCATCTTTAATAAGTGATGCATGTCGAAAATAATAGTGACCAATAACTGACTCAAACTATAAAAGAAAACTTAATGAAATCAAATAAACCCGTTTTAACTTGTTCAAATTACAGCAACATTGTGCACAAATTAATAATACTTGTTTATATACATGCAACATGTTCATGCATAATGTACATGCATATAATGCATGGGTGCACAAATTGACATGAGTGAAGAGGAAGCAAACTTGATTTCATACCTACTTTCATCCAATCATACATATGCCTTCCATGAACACCACTGATAGTGGATTCACCAATACATCTATAGTATCTAAAGGAGTCCCCCACTAACCTGTAACCCATTGCTGATTCAAAATTTACACTATGTATATCAATTCTAGAAACCTTTTTTCATAGCTCATCATAGTTATCAAGAACTGTTGCTTAACAGCATGATCTTATATCAAATTTCGAAGTGAGAGCCTAACTGTATCAATTTTAAAAGTCTGAAGTTGACAATAGTACCAAATTAAGCAAAAAGAAGTCCAAAATCAGTGGCGTTCACATGATTATAAGCCTAGAAAGTTAGAAATCCTATAATAATAATAATAATAATAATAATAATAAACAATCATATTTTTCTCACAGCACACTTGATGGTTCAAGAATAATAGAATAATTATCCAGAAACCGCAACAACATAAACAATTGAAAAGAAATACTTAACCAATTACGCAGAACACCTTCAAGCCTCAAATCCCATCCAGGTTCAATGTATCTATCAGAAACAGAAAACACTTTTTCCCAAGTGGGTTGGCAATGAACCCTAAGCAACGCTTCAAATATGGTTCTATGTCTCTCGCTATTTTCACCCACCGGCTGCTATGACTTCCCAACCAAAAGTTCAAATTAGATTCTCGAATCAGACAGATGGGTGTTTCAATTGATAAAGTAATGAGTATGTGATATGCATGCGAAGTTTCGTGCAGATTTGGGCGTATGCATTGGAGTCAAAAAAGGAGAAAGGTGGTGGAGGTGGGAGAGTTGGAGCCATGGAGGCCTTTGCTTTATGAAGGTCCAACCGTAAATAGTCAACGCCCATGACATCCGAGAGAAACATGGAAGATGAGGATGAATTCGGACGTGAAAGAAACCAGATTCAATCTGGAAAAGCTCTTAGAACTCAAGACGCATTGAATTTTGTGGGTGACAATTGGGATTTTCACATTAAAAATTAAAAATGTTTAATCAATTTAATTATAAAATTACAAATGAATATTCATACTGTCGTAATATTGGCATAGAACGACCAACACAAACAAAAGCATTTTATGTACCTTTTAACTCGGTAAATTTTGATTTCTTCCAAATGTATGTTTAGGGGTGAGTAAAAGTATTCAAATTTCCGATGTGAATTGATAATAAACCTTATTTTATGTTAATATAAAACGGTATTTGTTATTTTAAAATCATAAAATTTAAGATCCGGCACCGTCAGTATCGATCAGTATCATTTCCGGTACCGGTACCAGTATGTTAGTTCAGTTTGGTGCTTAGTATCAACTTTCCATCCAATTCAATACTTGGTATCTTAGTTTGGTATTAGTTTTGTCTCTGCTCATCATTAGTATGTCATTAACCAACAATATTTTTATGATTTTATTATACTATTGATTATGTTTTTTATTAGGACAACCATACTCAATGTGACGATATAATGGTATAACAAAACTAAAAAAAAATATATTTTAGTCAATTGAATACAATTAAAAACTTCATATAAACCATACATGTGCTCTAAATGACTAATATGCACTATATCTTTCTCTTTGTCTCACTCTTTCTTCCCCTTCATCTTTCCTATCCTCATCCTTGTTTTTATTAATTTAAAATAAAATTTTAAAAAAAAAAACTCCCCCATATAAATTGTAAAGAGATACCCACCTCCTCCGCCTATGGAAACCCTTGCCCCTATCACAAATCCTTCAAGAACAATAATGAAGTTTTAGAAAGTCAATAGGGTCAAAGATTTCAAGCAAAAAAACGGGTTTCGAAGAATCTTACTACACATAAAACACCATCATGTTTATATTTAATAAAGGTTCATTATCCAATATTGTACCCTTGTCATGGCTTTGCGCACCTAAGAGAAGTTGTCTTCGTCGAGTAAATTTGGACGGTTCCTCTTCAGATTTTGATAAGTATTTTATTAATTTTTAAAATCCAAAGTCGTTGATGCCTACCACATAGATGAGTGGTGAGAGAAATATTATCAAGAAAAAAAGGTCAAACTATTTGATGTAATTTTATAATCCAAACGAAAGAGATTATGTTCTCATAAGAGTTCATCAAGAATCGATTGATGATGTTTTGGTATGTGCAAAAAAATAGGGTAGTTTGTGTTCTTAGACCTGTTAGTTTGATTTTTTTTGGAAGTATTATGTTTTAATTTGAATTTGGAGTAAATTACACGAATGGTCCCTATGGTTTAATGTAATTTATGTGTTTGATCTCTAACTTATTTTTTTTAACATGGAAGGTCCCTACTGTTTGTTTTTCTTACGCGTTTGGTCCTTGTTTTACCTAAAAAGACTATTTTGCCTTTGATTTTTTAATTTATTTAAATAAACACACCCCCAACCCCACTCCTCTCACCTTACCTTACCTACCCTACCGATTTTCTCTATTTAAATAATAGTTTTTTTAGGTAAGACATGTACCAAGCACGTAATAAAAATAAACAGTAGGGACCAAACGCGTAACTAAAGAAAATAATAGGAACCTTCCGAGTTAAAAAAAATAAGTTAGGGACTAAACAAGCAAATTACCCCAAACCATATGGACCATTCGTGTAATTTACTCTTGAATTTGATTTCACATTGTATTTTCTTTTGTTCTTGGACATGTTAGATGTTAGCATCATTTTTTTAAGTATTATATTTTCTAAGACATGTTATATTTTCTTCCCATTGTATATGCTTTGGGATGGTATATGAAGCATACAAATAATCAAAAACATAACTCATGAACCCAAGAGGGGAACCATATTCAACCATATCTAACCAACCTAATTAAGACATATCTAACCAACCTAATTAAGAAAAACAAGAAGGAAAGAAATTATACTTTTGATATCTACGATTTATGAGACTTTGTCAGTTGATTGGACTTTGGAGGATCCAAAGAATAATCTTTATTTCGTGATCACACCCAAAAAGCAAACAACAAGCTGGAAATCACTCAAACTGGAAAGTAGGTTTTAGGTTATTTCGAGATGTGAAGAGCACCACTGAATTTATGAGGGTTTAAACTAATTTCTCTAGTACTCAAATATGGGTTTATGTCTCTCTATTTACAGGGGAAGATTCAAACCCTAACAGATAATTACTTGGTCTTAATATAATTATATGTAACTTTGGTAATTATCTAATATTCAAATCATGTATCTAGAACATTCCAATTTTCCATGTTTCATTTAATTAATTAAAAAAATCAATTAATTAACAAATTAAACCATATATTTTAATCTCATTTATTTTTGTTATTTCTTGTAACCCAAAAGAACATTGTTATCAATAGTAATATTACCAACTTATTGTGGATATAGCCACCATCTTCCACCGGTGTGTATGTGTGTATGTGTGTGTGTGAAAACATAAGTGCCATTCATGAAATTATGTCTTATATATTTTACTAACTATTTTATATATTGTGAAAAAAAAAACATTTTATTAAAATTCCAATTATGTTGAAAATATTAAATCATATATCACATCGGAAGATATGTCGTCATCGCCACTTCGTTGGACGGTTAGGTTGTTTTGGTATGCATACAATGATGAGGTTTCGTGGTCGGATGGAAGGTGCACCACTATATGCACGCCATCCCGATGAGGTTTTGTGGCTAAGTGGTGTAACGAATGTCATCAAGAACACAAAACAACATGTCCAATGATATTTCTTTTATACTTTATTATTTTCCTGCAAAACTTTTTGTGGCGCCGTGATATGAATACTATTGTTGGTATAGAAGAAGATTGTGGTGAGGTGGAAGGAGATGGGGCTTAAGGTGGTAGGAAACCACAACCATTGTTGTGATATACATACCAGAAGGCCACAAACTTTGGCATTGAAGAACTTTAAATCCAAATATTTAAGAAATATATGATCGATAGATCAACATCTTGAAAACCATAATGGGTTATATCGTTTCAATTAATTATATATTTCACCGGTGTTTAATTTTAATATTAATATACTTTAGATGTTCATGATGTACTTATTCCAAGAGATCCGAGTTTTATCAGGTAATATATCGTCAATGTTTTGAAATCATATCAGGTGATTCGTACGCAAGTTGAGTTATGTGAGTCGTATATAATGTTGAATTAGCTTGGGAAGTATGTCGTGTGATTAGTAACAAAGCCAAGTATAGTACAAAATCAAAAATAGCATTTACACAAATTTGTTAAATGTTTAAATTCGACATCTTCTAATGAAATACTATTAATATTTGAACCACCAAAATTGGTATTAACACATCAAGTTTCCTTTTATTTAACGCAAATTGTCGAAGATGTAACCACTTTTTTCTTTAACTTTTTGCTAAAACGTGTGTTACTTGTTATTTCAAATAATAGGTATCATATAAAATTGTGGAATTTCATATACGATTTAGGTTGAAATGAGAACAATTACTAGGTTTGAGAATGCGAGAACAAATCTCAGGTACTAATTCTATAAAAGAAGAAGAAGAAGAAGAAGAAGATGTGGCTTTTATTTTTAGTAGTGAGGGTTATTTTTGTAACTTGTAATTTTATATCTGAATCTAGGTTAGCATCGATCGTATCTTCTCCCTTATAATCGAATCTGCAAGATATCAACTACTCTCTTCTGATTTCTACTGATTCATGCCTAAAATCTAAACTTGCTTAAGATATTCTTCATCAATTCGTATAAAATGAAGCAAATATTGAACCGATTGTTAAATGTGAGTTATTTTTGAAGATTGTAGTGAATCAATTCTTAAAAAAAATGAAGCAAATACAATACTTAACTATGATTTTCATGAAATATGTTCAATAAGTTGTTCAATCTTTCTTCTTTTCTTCAGCGTGGTGAAATACATATTCAATTCAGAACTTTTTTTTAGAAAGTAACGTGTATGCATACCAATTGTTTGATAAAATGCATAAACCAAATGTACCATATAATATTCACATATGAATATGTATCTACACCAGACTTAGTATATGTTTATTAAAAGTCATGAAAAGTTATATCAAATTTACACATGAATTATATATAAAAAATATATTGATATGTTTTTCATGGAATTATATGTTGATTGTAACACCCTGTTTCGAGTTGTTCCTTAGTTCGGGACTGTGACCCGAAGATCAATTCTCATAAGGCTTTGGGTAGAGCCGACCCATGGGCCTGGACAAGCTGGGTGACCGCCTTAGGCCCCAAAATGCCAAAGGGCCCCATTTTTTTCAACTTTTTATATTGGTTATATATTAACCTATTACTTTATAGCCTGTTGGACTAGTCGTTCAAAGCCAAATACTCTAATTAGCCACTAATCCAAAAGATGGAGCATAGGAGGGAACGAGACTTACCTGGCGTGCGTTCAACTTCTAAGGCGTCATAACTCTTCAACTGACAGATTTATATGGAAAATCCAAACAATGACTTCTCCAAAAGCAAGAGTTAAATATCATTCCTATATTTCTTATTCAAGATTTCAAGTTAATCGATTACTTCTCATTCTTTTTCTGATTTTCTGAATTCGTCAACAACAACCATTAGTGAATCAAATGTTATTTTAGAATTGAGAGACTGATTGTGTCTCGTTCTTTTCAAAATTTCAGAAAATGCGAAACTTTATAATTTCCCTTATTGTTTTCGATTTCATTTTTCTGATATAGCACCAATGTGAAGTTAATCAGATTATTTGATTTAATTTTTTAATATGACCTAGAGACTTGAATCGAGGGTTACAATCAAGGTTCTAAATAACGTAAGGCGTGACTTGGCGGCAAGGTAAAAGTTAAGTCATGACAAGCCTTGGCGAGCCATGACGTTTTTCAAAGCGTGACTATATTATATACATTAAAAGATATAAATCATATAATTATTGAATTTTATCAAATATACGAAGGTTTTAGAAATGTTATATTAATATCTAATAAAAAAAATTAACAAAAACTTATTTATTTTAGGCCCTATAA